ATGTGGTACTCAAGCTGCACAGCAGAGGACAGGAGGTAGCAGTTGTGGATGGTGAAGACAGTTTAGACGATTGTGGGAACTGCTGTCCCAGATCTACATTCTGTATATGCTGAAAGGAAAGATCCATCAGCACAGACAAAACTCACCTGGGACCTTCTTTGTTTGGCCATTCGCACTCCCAAGCACCCTCACATTCACATTCTCACTCTCACATTCTTGGGTTTTCTTGTTTTCTGTATTTTGTATTCTTGGGTGACCTTATATTTAGACTAGGTTTTCATTCTTTTGGCTTTACTTGACTCCAGGAGAGCCCTGTACAAGAATTCCTATATGCCCTTGACTGTGTGTTTATGCATAAATGGCGAATAAAAATCTTGAATTCAGACACTGGTGACATCACCGGGGGCAAATGGGGGTTCAGTTCAACATATGGACCAGACAAACCAGGAATCAAACTGCTACCTTCCGGTTAGGAGATGACCCGCTCTATCTCCTGAGCCACAGCCACCCCATATGGTGCACTAGTGAGTGTTAACCCCTTAGCCATAACCCTAAGCCCCGTTCGACACAACAGGATGTGCATGTGATTGTGACACAAAATACAGTACAGTGTCGTGTTTATTGCAATAAAGAATGATTCCTTCAGAGGAAATGTTTCAGCCAAATTGTGCTGAAACACGCAGAATAATTTGACAACGATTTGCCAAAGATTACCAAACTCTCCATTTCAATTTGATGTTGCCCAACTGCTTTGTCTAGTAAGCATTTGCACAAACGCATCTCACCTGTTTTTTTAACCCTTTACGCAACACCAGTGTTCTCACGGTTCACTTCTCAGATTTAAAAAAGCCACTTCCTCTTTGAAAATAACATTCTTTTCAAAAAGATGCACTTTTTTTTCAGTTTGGTCCAATTGACCAAATTACACTGTTTATAACACATCACTAATAAACCCTGATGACAAACACACTGTATATACCAATGACAACACAGAAATATTTATTACTGATTGTGTATTAGTCATCCAATATGTGTGCTTAATTTGGTATTGTAAAACCAAAAAAACTGGTTTAATAAAAAGCTTTTTTCTCGCCCTTTTGGTCATACACGCAAGCCTACTTCCCTCTGCTGCTTCTGCAAGCCGTTAGTTAAGGGTGTGGGACAATAAAAACTTTTGCAGTGCTACCTCACTAAGCTGGTGTTGATTCATCAACCATAATCAACCATCTGCCCATTTTATTTTTCCAGGCCTTTCTCCTGATTTTCCACAGAGTTGTTTGACAGAGCCTGCATTAGTATACAGTGCTGAACGTCACTGATGGGTCAAATAGAGGGCTCCACAGTGTGAGCATTTCACTCGTGTATGCAAGTAAAAAATCTGTGTGCCAGGGTGAAGAATGATTTGGGCGCACTGATGCAACTGATTCCAAGTTCCTTGGGTTTTCAGTTTGCAATGAGCATTTTATCAGCAGGCCTACATGAACACACCAGTGAATCAGATTAGTGGACTTCAAAATATGGCTTTGGTGTATGTGGAGTGGCTTTTCCTGGTGTTTGACCTGACTGTGTCAGGATCGGCATTTAAAGCTGCAGACAATGTCAAGGGGTGAACTCAATTATAAGGCCAGACCAGGTTTAGCAGAACACTGTCTCTTTACAGTTTTTTGCAGTTGCTAACATCCATTTGTCCATTCTGTATTCACATTTTCAAAACTCTACACACAATTATCACAACATCTGTTTGTTGTGACCATACCATTAATACAATTAATGTCGTTTTCACACAAAATTTAGTTAATGCACACGTTTCTAAAATGCTTACATTTTCTTTTCACACAAGCTTACCCCATAGCAAAATAATGGATCTTTCAAATATCTCTAACAAATGCTTAAACACATCATGACAGAATTGAAGACCTAATGATCCAAACTTTAAATATAATGTAAAGCCTCTACTTTTGCCACAACAGCTCAAAGAGCTGATAAGAATTATTGTTCTACTTGGGAAACAGCTGGTTCCAATTTGACACTGATTAATCCCACATCTTTCCATGCATGTCCAAGCACAATAAAAAAAGCATGCACTCTCTAGACTGGGTTTGTTCAAAACAATACAGAAAAACACA